ACGCAAGCACGGACCCCTGGACACTTTCAGTGCATTTCCATTCGAGAACAATATGTAGTTCCTCAAGCGGCTTCTGAAAAGCCACAAAACTCCACTTGCCCAACTATACAATCGCTTGAACGAGCGAGATGGAGAGGTAGCTGATCTTCCATCTTTTGACAAAATTAAGTTTTCAAAAGAACATTCAGATGTACCCTTTCTACCCGCCTGTGAACCACCCTTGTACAAATAGGCTACATTTGATAGCTTCATGCTTAGTGTAGAGGTTCCTAACAACTGCTGCATGATAGATTCTTCTGTCATTATTGTAGAGAGTTTTGCAAGATTGAGAGGTATGCAGGTGCTCTGCATCATTGGCCGTGAATTCAAAGTAAAAGAAAACTTCTATGAGAAGCCATCTATTTCTGGCACCATTGATGTTTTTGTGGTTTCACAGCTTTCTGGTGTTAAATGTTGGCCATTAAGAAATGTACGCAAGGTTGTTAGGTTACCCTGGCACGGAAAATTTGTTACTATTCCACTGCTTCATCTGTCTTGAGGGCACTAAAAGAAGAATTGATTGCATTTAGGATAGATTACCCTTCAACAGTTTTTGACACACCGCTTTGCTATGAAGAGATGCTTTGTTTTCTTAAAGGGAAACTCCGGTGCATTTTCGACCATACTGAGATAATGCTGTTTTCAAATAGTATTGACAATCCTGCAAAGGCTTAGGTGGTTAATTTTGCCCAGGCACTCGTCAGTAATTTTAATTAAGCAATAAGCGACAAGTCAAAACAAAGACCAAAAGGGGAAGCTGCTCTGTCATCTATGGTGGGTATCAGATGACGTCTCGAGAATTCGTCGCTGATGACGTCACGAGATCGGCTACACCCCGCCACGGCTTGCCAGGGTGCACACATAGCTCACATTCCTCTTCTGATGCGCGAAAAGCAAGTTGGCGATATCGACGCAGAAGCAAGCTGTGCCAGAGCGTCTGAACTTACTAGTGACAAGTTCAGCAATGATTGCAGCTACTATCTCAGCGCAGAAGCATCGCTTTTTGATTTCGACCCGCCGGCGCGTGAAGCATCTGACATGCCCCGAATCGATTTCCTTGTTGCTCAATATTGTAAGACCGACATCAACGATGACGAACACGCTGTATACAGCTGACAAAACTGAACTGTGCTAGCGGTGTCACCTCGTAGAAGAAAGCGCACGTTGCATCTGTCTGCTGGGAAATGCAGGGTTTTCCAAAAAGAGTAGGCCCTTACGTCACATGCACAGGGTGGCCTGCGTTTACTAGTGCGATTGCAGAATCGGCTACTAATTTTAAAATTTGTTTTCCAAGAAACTGAATGACTTAGGGTGCATAATTTGGCACATATTATCATGGTACTAATGAAAACACATGTTTAAAGTTTTATTGAAATCAGTTAATATCGATAAAACGCCGGAGTTCCCCGTTAAGTGGTTGTTACATGAAAGTTTTAATTTGTTGTTTTCTTGCGTTAAATGATATGTGGGGTTTAACATCCTGAAACCACCATATGATTATGAGAGACGCCGTAGTGAAGGGCTCCGGAAATTTCGACCACTTGGGATTCATTAACGTTCCCCCAAATCTGAGCACACGGGCGTACATTTTTGCTTCCATCGGAAATGCAGCAGCCACAGCCGGGATTTGATCCCGCGACCTGCGGGTCAGCAGCCGAGTACCTTAGACACTAGACCACCGTTGCGTTAAATGTTAAGCCAAGCCCTGCTGATCCTAGAAAATAAGTGTAAGTGCTCCCTGAAAAAGTAATTACAACATGTTATTAAAAACTTGTCTTGGTTCCTACTGTACTCTCAAGTCGCGATATGAGCTCTTCACATGCTGGAGCAAGAAATTGTGACGTTCCCATGGCCAGGCGAGTATCCTGTATGAAGTCGCGAGAATTAGTACTGTAGCCTGACGTCAAGCTAGTGTCGATGTCGCGAGGTGCACCTTGAGAAAATTGGCTTTACTAGTACTGAGAAAAAAATGGCACTAAATTGGGACGAAGAAAGAATGACCACACAACACTGAGGAACAATGGAACTGAGGAACAACTGTGTGTGTGTTTATTACACGAGAAAATATAGAGCTGCAAAAACAAATAGGACTACAACACTTGCTCATAAAGATGAAAAGCAAGATGAATCTCTCACGAGTCAAAATGTCCAAAGTTAACAGCTCAGAAACATGTTCTCTTTTTCGAGGAGGGCAAGTGGAGGCTCACTGACACACGTGTCCTTTCTTCCTAATATGGAAGGCTTCGTTGATTTCGCACTCGATCTTGTTACGATATCGTGAAAGCATCTTTCAATTATGGAAGAGCTGGGTGCAGCTGCACGAGGAACAATGGGCTGCTAAGGTGCTGCTTGTTGAAGTCTTGAGATTGAACGGGTGCTCATTCAGGTGATCGTTCAAACATTGACTGGTCTGTCCAGCATAGGTGTAGCCACATGACAACGGAATGTCGTAATACATTGTTAATGCATTCCTCGTACTGTGTCCTGTGCTTCTTTATGCACGCATGCTCTTTGGGATTACTTTACTTTTTCGCATAGGCTGCCGAGAAAGCCTTACACCTGCTTTGCTAACGATCTTGAGTGCATGGCTCGCACTGCGTGCGTAAGGGATGGCGGAAATTTTTTGTCTTGTGCTGGGTGTTTCCTGGTGCTTTGCTCAGCACAGAAAGGACAATAAATTTTTGTCGTCTCTTAGGTACATAGTTTGAGTCATGCGCTCATGTAAATTGTGTATCAACTGGCCCTTCAAGACACCCTTCTGGCTTTAATTCCAAAATAATCTATGTCGGCATTTGCTGTACTTCACACTTGCTCCGAGCTATCTCTGTACACAGGAGATTTGTAGAGCAGAGTAAACTGTCCTTCAAAAAAAATGGTGTCACTACCCCTTTATTATGACAGTTATTTGGTCACCATATTGTGCTAGCAGTGAAACGAAACAGCCACTATTGTGCAATAAACATTCACATTCTCCAAAGATAAAGAGGTGTATTGGTTGTGCTTGAATTAAAACTGATGTCTATGTGAGGACTGTCTGCGGCGGCTGCATTTCCGATGGAGGCGGAAATGTTGTAGGCCCGTGTGCTCAGATTTGGGTGCACGTTAAAGAACCCCAGGTGGTCAAAATTTCCGGAGCCCTCCACTACGGCGTCTCTCATAATCATATGGTGGTTTTGGGACGTTAAACCCCACATATCAATCAATCAATCATTATGTGAGGACTGTTCATAGTGTTTAAGAGATATGCATGTCATAAGGGTATCTTAATTGTCCCATTGCATTGTTCTATGTAGAGCTCTAAAATGCTTCTGGGCGAATGACAGTTTTATGTATGATTAATGTTTATTGTACTTAATAAACAATAAAACAGTGTCATCCATTTTCAGCATGTGATGGAATTGAGCCCTGTGCTTTTCATGATGTGAATTTGTCTTATACATTTTTTTGGTGTTTCCCATTTCATGTTTGTTTTTGTATTTTTGCAACAGTCATATTTGTCACCTGTTCTGCAGTATTGTATTGGAATGGTGTTTTGCTTCATACTGGATTTTGTAAGTTTTTAACTTAAACCTTTTTTATTACTTGCTAAATGTTCTTGACATTTTTTGTTTGTACCAAAGCTTGTGTATTTATGAACCTGTAAGTTTTAATTTTGATATTACAAAATGAAATAATCACAGTTAACTTCTTTTATTGTATTACCTTCACTGCTAGAATTTCTTAAATGTGTGGAGCTGTGCTTCTATTCTCATCATTGTGTTCACACTTCAACTTGAACATCGTACTTGATTTAATTAGTGTTTGCTTAATTTATTTATTCATTATTACTAGAGTACATGATTTGACCTAATGATAATAAACGTTTTATTGCATCTGAGACCTTGTGTGAGCCCAATCTTCTTACGCTTTAGCACTTGTTCCTGGGCAAGTTGATGCCTAAGTTTGCCAAACATATGTTATTCTGTTTTATCGATGGTAAAAGCTTGAAAACAAGTAAGCTTTTAAGCATGCACAGTGGCATGAAAGTTCGCTGTACTCTTTCACGTCGCTGTGCATGATTGTACGTTTTTTCGACTTATACCATCAATAAACAGTTGGTAATTGGCACTCCGGATCCCTAGTCGTCACCTTATTTGTGTCCATGAATCTTGTTCTAATTTAGCATTGCACCAGAAATAATTTTAGCGCTTTGATATTTAATCTTCAGCAAAAGGGTTCTTGTGAAAGACGTTCAAGCATCAATTGCGAGAGTGCACAAAACCTGAAGGACCCTCGATATTACCACACACACACACACATATATATATAGCTAGGTATTTATGCTCACTCAACATCAGCCTCGGACAGGCCGCATGGACATTCAAAGGACCATTAGGGGGTAGATTATTTATGCACAATAAAATAAGAAATCAATATACATATTTATTATGAACATATCTGTACCTGTGTATATGTATAATATATCCCGTGATAATCCTTTTAATGTCCGTGTCGGCTGTCCAAGACGGATGACGAGCGAACGTACAAATTTGTTACCTTTGTACATTCACAGTATGTCCATTGGACGTACATTGTACGTCCGCGGATATCTGATGGATGTCCGGAATATCCGAGACGGACGTCCCGATGTATTCCTAACGGATATCCGTGGTTACTTGGGTATAGAAGAGCTCACTTTATTTAAAATGAAAGGCGCTCGTAAAGAGGACCAGGCAAGAGCTTTGTCTTCCTTTCTGGCTGCGAGAGCTCTCCTCTGCAGGTTGAATGCGGCAATATCGTATATAGAATTATTTATACCTTGAGCTAGTCTGCAATACCCTTAAAATTTAACTAATCGAGGTTCAGCTTACCTAAGCAGCTGACAAGGGGCCTACAGGTCAAAAGAAAACCCGCTGAGATGTTACAAAAAAAAGGACAAGGTACAGCCTTCAGTAACATCCATAAGCATTCGAAACACCGACCTCTGGAAGAGAGCGTTGACCGGCCATGACAAGGAACTCGAGCACAGTGTCCACACTGCCGGAGTCTGACAGGTTGGGCTCGACCACGGGGTAGAGCTCACGAAGCCGCTCCCCAAAGATGGACGTCTGCATGACACCCTCACGAGCACGCATCAGGTTCACATTTCCTCGGAGTGTGTTGATCTCTCCGTTATGAGCCAAGAGCCTGCGCAGAGTCATAGACAACACTGTGTCGTCCAAAAGCTATGCCACATAGCTTCTTCAATTGGTCACTCTAGGCTGGGCTGAAGATGTTGCCATTCGCTGGGCAACTGCTTTATTGTTTGATTGGTAACAACTTTACATATGTTTCAATTATTCCCCGTGACTAAATGTTTACTTCATCCTACATACTAAAAATTATTCAATAGCATACTTCAGAAAAGCAGAGTAAGAATTCTCTATTCTTCAGTAAGCATTGTTCTGTTTCCATCTTCCCCATGTTTCTTGATAAAAAATAAAAGTTTCATTGATTTAGTGATTGATTGATTGGCCTTCCTCAACTGCATACTTCGTGTCTGATCAAGATCTGGAAACATAAAATAGCAAAAAGTGAATGGTCTTATGTCAAGCCAACTTCTGCCAAGGCCCCCATGTATTATTAAAACTAATGAAAATAAGGTAGTCGCTCATAGAGTACAACTTGTTAAAAAAACACTGTAACATACAATGAGAAGAGTGAACTTAATACACAGACATACCGCATTTAGTGACAGAGTTTGGTGTCTACCTTTTATCAGCTCTCATTAAAACCTCTTTCGAATATCATACTAATTCTTGGCGAAAAGTCTAATCAAGATTGTCTTGAAATGTGTATGAGACATTTTACATATGATTCAGCATTAACCGCTGCTTTTGTCATTGATTTAAAGATGAACATTTAATAGACTTCTGTCTGGTTTGGAAGATGACAACATTAGAAAAAGGGGACACTAACAAACTCAATCATTAGGTGTAAAACCTGCTTTTTTACTTTAAAATGAGAAGAGCCTTTTGAGTCCGACTAGGACCCTTCTTCAGGGCTGACTGCGAGGCACCAGGGAGCAACAGAGTTCGAAACACCTTCTCTTTAAGCTTGGGGCCGTGCTTATTTTGACCGACGTGCTGCAGTACACTGAAATGCAAACTTGGAAGTGCACCTGCGGACCGGTTAACATTTCTTAGTGTTGCCCGATTATGCCAAGACTCCACAAAAAGCGAGGTCAACAATCACCGCATTGCTGATTTCAAGCTCATGTTCCCAAAGCGGCTTTTTGTGGAGTCTTGGTTGATGCTTCAAGAGCTTTAGGGAAACAGCACCATGTTCGATTGCTCTGATTGGCACATCTTGTCAAACAGCAGAACACCTAAACACTCAAACAGATGATGAAATGAAATTAAAAGAACCATGTGACACAGAGCTCAGCTGCAAGTTTCTATTCCTTGCCCTGCAATCGTGCGGCTTATTAATCAGCTGTCTGATTATGGAAGGCCAATACTTGTGAAGCAAGACCTTTTTGAACATGGCATTGCAACACCTTACCGCAGTGGATGGGCTCTCTCCCAGCTAGGGAATGTGTTTGTCGAGAAGCGGGCATGGACGAGGGCCAAGTACGTCTCGCACTCGGGATCCTGGAGATCCAAGAAGTACCGCCACAGCTGGGTGGTCGTCAGCTGGCCCTGCAAGAGAAGAAACCAAAAGAGGAATTTGGTTATGAAATGACAGGAGTTCAATTAATGTATATGTACACATATTGAAAAATATTTGAAAATTTTATCAAATAGTGCCCCATTTGATTTGGTTTTTGAATTGAAAAGCCACTATTTGTAAATGCAAATATTTTTCAAGCACTTCAGATTATATCGGAAACTGTCATCTGCACCCAAATAAACACAACATTGGTGCTAATAATCTAGGTTTAATCCCTGCAGACATAGTACAGGCATAAAACATAAGGATTATGTAATGTGGCATACCACTTAACTTGATGACTTTACCAGCTATACAATGATGGTTCACACTGTAAGAGCTCAAGCAAAAAGTCTACTTGTTTGTTCCTGATGCTCCGCTTTGTGCTATAATCATGAACACCAGCAGGTGAACATCATTTTCTAATAAATCTAAAATGGCTGTTGCTAATCCACGAACTATTCAATAAGTTATATTTAATATTTGATTTAATTTGCTTCTGTGTTCCGGCACTATTCAAATTAGACACTGTTCACTCTCAAAAGACATACGATTTGCACACTACTATTTGTGAATGTTGCAAAGCTGCCAAGTGGGCAGCAGAAAAAACTGGTGGAGTGCCCCAAATTATCCCTGAACACCTAGGGATTGTTCACAGACACTTAAATTGAAGTACATGACAGGGCTCTGGGTTCTGATCACAAGAAAATTGTGCCACCACATAGCAACACACAATGGCACATATTTAAATGCCTGCCCACACCTAAAGAGACTGAAGATGAAAGCAATTATGAAGCAGTTATGCCAACTTAATACGGTTTAAAGAGAGATTGAAGTTTGAACAGAAGGACCCGATCAGAGAGCAAGAAAGAGTGTTAACTTCACTACAAAAGTCTCCCCTGTGCTATCTCACCTTATATACAATAGTGTCCGGTGACAGACTGCAAATATAGTAGCGCAGCTTATCACTGGGAATCTTGTGAGAAGTGGTCTTCCGGAGGACAAACACCTGTGGGAAAAGTATCAATCAATAAATTAATCAATCAATCAATCAATCATCCTTTCAGAGATATATATATAGCACATCTTGAAAAATAATTTTTCTTGAGTACCACATAGCTTTCCAGCAGATTTTATGCCTAGCTTCAATACAAGCTTGAAGACATAATTTATACTATGTATCGGTGGAACTTCAAGATTTAATGGAGGCATCTTATGAAAAAGCGATAGCACGCTTCATGTAAGAGAGGCAGATGCACTGGTGAATAAATCTTGCTTTTTACACCGAGCTGATGCAATAATCAACAAGGAGCTCATGCCTTTAATTAGTAGTGTTCCATAAGTAACACCACAACATGAGTGTTTAAGAGAAAAAGAAATTATGATGATAATGATTATGGTGATAAGGTCGTGCCTGGTTGCCAAGTTGAAAATAAACTACCAGATAGTCTCACAGAGACTAAGCTACCCTGAACAGCAGGTGGAGCACTCACCACTTGACCACATATTGAACGAAAATGCAGGCAGGACTAGCTGGTTTCAAGCCCTTGCTCAAAACATTGTGGTGATACAGCTTTTAAGAAACAAAGAATGAAAAAGAAAACGTCATAGAAAAGTACAAAATCAGGCCCACTCACGTCTCGCTTGAAATCACTGCCTGCCTGTCCACCGGTGGGTACCACAAACACCTGGCGCATGTATGGCTCTGTGGAACGAGCCACTGAGCCCAGGGTTGCATCATCTGTGGGAAGGGTCCTCCAGCAGAGAACCTGAACATCCAGCGTCCTAATGAGACTGCTTGACAGTGACAACATTGAAGGACTCAAAACCTTTCTATGTGAGATGCAGCGAGCAAGAAATAGTTCATTATGATGCTTCCAAATTTGATGCACTACTTGACATACAAGATTACTCATACATTGATAAACCAATTTTTCTCGATGAGATAAATAATGCTCAGAGAAAAAAACCAGCACTTTGGGTGAGGTAGTGGCTAACAAAGCACTGTTGGTGCCATCCGCTTACACACACTGTATATGACAAATCGACAACACACACAAGCTATTTTACAAACCCATAAAATAATCTGCCAACTTTATAGGCTTCCACAAGGACCTTTTCTCGCATTGTTCTTTTGACTGCCACAAAGCTGAATTCCACACCTGTGCTTACACTCATGCAAACTCCAATCAACAATATTCTTCATATCAGCAAGACATTAGAACTATGAGCTCAAACGAAAACGCACCTTCAGGTTGTTGGCCAGAGCCTCTTCCTCGAACCTCCTCTCTGCTTCAGGAGCTGTCATCTGTTCCAGGAAGCAGACACCCGTGGCATAATGTCCAGCAGGGGGCAGCACTATGTTTAGCTCCTCCCTGAAATGACAACGTAGAGCCATAATAATCAGTACGCCTTGTGCTCATATACACGCATATCCAACATCTTAGCAATAATGGACTTTTTATGCTGCATTGATAAGCACAAGTAAGGCACCCGTAGGATTTAATCACTGAAAATTTTATTCAAATGAGTATCTTATACAAACTTCTCAATAGAAAATGTGGCCCAGTGCTAAGGTGGTATTCTGGACATTGTTGAAATCATCCCCTGTAGTCAAATTCCACCATTGCCAAACTCTTATCGGCCCACAGCGCTGATACGGCCTCCTTGATTTGTTTAAAATGCCGCAATTACCAAATCTCACAATCAGATGGAGTGGGGAGCTCGAGTGGAGCGCGCGACACTCAAAACAAACGCGTGCGCACGGTGCAGCAAATACCCCGGTAGTGACGGCGTGAGCTTGGTAGGCGACGTGCTGCACGCAACTAAGAATGATCGGCATGGTCCCCGAAGGAGCCGAACGTATCCACGAGAAGCTGTGAGAGCACAAATGAGTATCTTATACAAACTTCTCAATAGAAAATGTGGCCCAGTGCTAAGGTGGTATTCTGGACATTGTTGAAATCATCCCCTGTAGTCAAATTCCACCATTGCCAAACTCTTATCGGCCCACAGCGCTGATACGGCCTCCTTGATTTGTTTAAAATGCCGCAATTACCAAATCTCACAATCAGGTGGAGTGGAGAGCTCGAGTGGAGCGCGCGACACTCAAAACAAACGCGTGCGCATGGTGCAGCAAATGCCCCGGTAGTGACGGCGTGAGCTTGGTAGGCGACGTGCTGCACGCAACTAAAAATGATCGGCATGGTCCCCGAAGGAGCCGAACGTATCCACGAGAAGCTGTGAGAGCACCTGTTAGACACATTTCATAATCGCAAAGCAAGCTTTCATGCGGTGCAGTCAGCCAAAATAATGACATCAAGTCACATCTGCAAACAGCGTGTGCAAGCGCAGTTCGATTAAGCTATGATGCGAAAATTTTGGACCTGGCTCGTTAGATATAAACATGAATAACAGGCAAGCCCCTCGCATTCACTTGAAGCACGACTGGGGTCGTAGTTAGTTGGGCGAATATGCAGTGCAGGGAAATGCACTTCAGATTATGAAAAAGGTCTGATAAGTGCCAGATATGTGAGGACTTGAAAGTGATTTCGGACGTGGCTGTAGCGATTTGACCCCTAGATCGAAACATAAAAAAAGATACGTGAATTTGTTTTTAGTTTTTTTTTCTTTTTGTTTCTTGGACTACTTGACCTTTAGGGCGATTGCGCAGTCCCTCCGAAAAATTGCACCTGGTCTTGCAGTCCCAACGTGGGCGCAGCCCGCAACTACGATTCTGTAGTTGCTTAGAACCCGAATAAAGTTCATTGACTGACTGACAGTGACTGTAGTTATGTCTTAATTAAAATCCGAAAATTCGCTTAAAACTTTGAACAGTTTTGACAGACTCAAAGTATAAACAACTGCAGGTGCCCTTGAAGAAAAAAACTGAACCAGGCATGTAAGTCTGATATGTAGTTCAATTTTGTGCATTTTGACGGTTCTGTTATCTACATGTCGGGAATTATAATTAATAATAATTGATGAGGAGTAACATTCCTGAAACCACAAGGACTCTGGAAATTTGACCACCTGTGGTTCTTTAATGTGCACATAACCTGCACTTCGGAAACTACACAGCTGGCGATCTTCTGATTAAATGTAAGCACCAGTAGCTGAGTGCTTACTTAATGTAGAGGCACATACTGCTACGTTTTAGTACAATATATTTGTACCGAATTAGTTTTGCGTACAAAATTTAAAAACAATGGGCATACCCTGCACTGCAAGGTATTCTGCTAAAAGTTATTGAGGTTGTAATAAATCTGCTAGAAAAATACAATGAGAGGAAGAAGGAAATACTGAGAGGTTAGTCACCATATACTGCTTACTTAATTGTCCCTTTCTTACGACCTCCTTTCTCTACATGGTGATGTAAAATTTTAAAATGTAAAAGTTCACACGATTGCCAACACACTTTTCGTTAGCACTAATATTAACACTTCGTCTGACAATTCTCTGCAGTCAACAACGAAATATCGGCCATATGATATATGCGTTAATCGTATGCATTCTTAAACCAACAACTTTCTTGAGCTCCTAAGTTACTAAAGAAATCAAACAAGATGGCGGGCTGGTGCGCATACCATTTTTTTATAGTGTGATCACAGCATATTCATCCGGACGTGCTCTAGGACACAAACACACATACACAATTTGCTACACCACATGTACATTACAGTCTCTGTTTACAATTAGGCGGCACACAAAGCTAGTACAAGCAAAATAACTCTAGCAAACAACTTGAATTAGCCACTCGCGCCTTGTTCCACTTAATCGTCACATCTGTGGGCAGTCTGCGCTGCAGCTTCGCCATTTCCAATCAACTGAAGCTCCTCCACTTGCCTCCAAGTTATTGAGTGCTTGTCGAGAGCACACTGGCAACTCCGGCTTTTCTACGGTTCTAATTAATTGCATTAACTAGCACGCCATTAGATGCCCCTCTAAATTAATGAGTGCTTGCTGCAGAACAATGCAAGTGTTTCTGTGGACCACATCGAAGGTTCAGGCTTTCCCAGTGTCCATATTATCGATGCCGGGAATAATGAGGTCTTTGTTTTGGAGCGCCCACGCAAATGCATTGCTTGACGTCACTCATGGTTTGTTACTTGATTATAGGTATTATGCCAAGTTATCGCTATTACTTATTCATTTTAAAAGCGTGAAATTTATTAACAGACCCAACTGTCAAACTTGCTGTAGAACGCGGAGCCCGTAAATTTTTGCCGCCGGCTGTATACATAAGGCAAATTGTAGGTACACGACAAATAGAAAATGTCTTTAGAGGGCAAATCAAAATACCTTTACACGGCTGACGTTAGGTATATCCGCCCGCGATAAAAATGATAAAACACACTCGTAATTACATTTCATTGAGCTGGTGTACATAAAAAAACTATGCCAAGCTATTAGTCCTCTAAGAGGCAGTTTATTTTCGAGGGCACTATTTCGCATGGCCAGCGGTAAGGGTGTTGAGCAATATCACTGGTTACATTTCTTTGTGCAACCTCTGCGACGCTACATCCACAAGTATGTGACGAATACCACTCAGGGATTTCGGTAACAGCCCTGGGTGGTACCTTCTTTACCTGAAGTGGGGCAGGGCAGGCAGATGCGGCCAAATGGCATTTTGTGCCCTGTGTGCCATGGCAAAATTAATTCAGGGTGGGGGGAGATGTGAGGGTGCCACCCCCTGGCTACGCCCCTAGCAATACTGACAGCGAAACGCATCGATCGGAATCAGAATACTCAAATCAAAGCACTAATGAAATCCATTCTGTATAAGCAAACAAAACAAAAAGACGACGAGGCACGCACCTGAGCCTCTTGCGGTAGAATTTGTCGGGTACGGCCATCATGACGCCGGCTCCGTCACCGGTGTTGTTGTCGCAGGCACAGGCCCCGCGGTGTTCCATGCGCCGAGACATGGTCTCCGCATCTAGGATGAGCTGCGCAAAGAGAAAATTAGGGTGAAGCTAAGTCAGTTCACATAGACAACCCTGTAATTGCACCCCTCAGACAACCCTAATATTGCAGCCATCGGAGCTAGGTTGCGTAAGTTCGAGAGGAGACTATAAGGGACGAGAAATTCTTGAGCCCGCCGTGTCACTGCAGCCGGCGTTACAACTTCTCCTGTCATCTTCAATTGCGGTTCTGTCTTCTTCAGTAGCTGCCGTGATGGCTATCAGGCGGTATATTATTCTGTCAGAACGCGGTTCGCTTTGTGCGAGGTTCAGCCTTGCGAAGATAAGCTTTGTGCACGTGGAGCATAAGCGTTATTTCAAGAAAAAAGATGGACACAGGGATGGACACACGCAGGAAACTTCTCTATCCATATTGTCCTTTTCCAGACGCTCTCACTACCGCCATTACCAGCCAAATACTTACTCCCAGACAAGGAAGAAAATCCAGCTGTTCGTTATTAGTAAGTACGCCAACCTAGTGCATCATTAGTCCCGTCAACATACTGTGTCGATGTCACACCTTAATTGTGTTGCATAATAACGGACAATTTCCGGTTTGCCTGTTTTTTTTTTTCATTCTGCGGAAAGAAAACACGCCTACCTTATATTCATCAGCTGTTTCTCAGCATTTAAAATACACCCAAGAAATCAGTCCCAAAAATGAACAGAAACATATTGGGCTTCCTCGTTAGAATGAAGAGAGAAGTACACGCAACTAGTTCCCGCCGGCTTCGAGAGGTGCGCAATGTCTTCCGTCTAGCTCTAAAATTTGACAAAGGGCATTTCCAAACTATCAGTCACGGCTTAAACGAGTACACAACGACGCGTTCAAAAGTTCAAAGGCCTCGGCGGGCCACGCTGCTCTTTTTCCTGGCATCCCGTTATACTCCTTCTATACCCCGCCCTAATTGCTTTTCTTTCCAAAGACGCCTGCAGAGCTTGCTTCGCCGCAGCGTTACCCTTTATACGGCGAAGCCGAACGCGCGCCAATGAGGCGAAAGAAAAAAAAAAAAAAAAAAACCCGCTCTGACCCCGACGGTGGCGCTAGGATTTATCACGCGCATCGAGCTCGAACAATCCGAACATCAATAATAATAAAAAAAGGGAGCGCCGCGAAGTAACTAAGCCAACAATGCGGGCACCCCGCGGGGATAGAGAAGGCTGTTTATCGAGCTATTTTTCTCCGCGAAGACTATTACGGGAGCACGCAATCACAGCCGGTTCTGCACCCGCACCTTAAAGCTAGATGATGCGGACCACCGCACGCTGCCAACAGGAATTGAGAGTTTGTGCTTACCCAGCGCTTGGCACTTGCCACAGCACTGTTTTTTTTTTCCCGCGATTCATTTCATTGCAATAGCTACTCTAGCCGGAAAATAAACGACTACAGTAACCATAACAAGATGACTCGGAGAGATAAAAATGTCATGACGCTCGCGTACGTGGCGCGGAATTTTTATTGCAACCGTACTATAACTGTCGTCTAACTGGAACTGGTGGTATCACGGCAAAAAAAAAAATAATAAATGACGGGTCTGTGTAAACGAAAGGCGGGAGCAATGTGTGGGTTAATAAATAAAGCTTCCTGGCGGCATGAATATAGCATTCGGAATACACAAAATCAATAAACATAAATAAAAAAGAACAAGTAAATCCGGGATAAGTGAGTTCATGAAAGATGAAACTGAGAAATCTCATTAAAATGCGTTTTAATGCACTTGGCGCACTTCGGGATAGAAGAACATTTTTTTTTTTCAAGTGTTATAACGGTGTTTTTGTGAGTGAGTGATTTTTGAAGGAAGGAAAAAAAAGGCACCTAATTTCTGTTGGGCTCATACACAACGGCGCAGCGCCTTGTAGGGGATGGGATGAGAGGATAAAAAGAATAGCACAAAAAGAAAGATACAGAAGACGCAGCGCTCCTCGCATGCGATCGAAGTAAGATGAAAGAAGAGATAAAAACGGGGGACACGGTCGAAGGAGTCCGAGGACGGGGCACCGATCGGCGAGAGCACAACGACGTCAAGAGATCGCCGACGGCGGGCCGACTGACGAGAGCTATACGCTGGCGTCGGAGATCGCGGGCGGCACAACCGTTCAGCACGGAATCCAGAGAGCGAGCCCCGTGCTTGTGGAGGCGACCTCGAAGAGAGTGCAAACTAAGAGAGCGGTGATAACCGCAGATTCATTGTGGCCAACAGCGCAAAAACAGTGCCATGCCCACTTGTAGTCTATGCGCTTTAGAGCTGTTAGCCACAATGAATATGCCCCAACTGGCCCAGTTTCCGAGCTTACTTAACCGCACGTTACACGGTGCTGATTGGCGCCGCATCACCAGGGCCGTTACCACCACAGTGCCATCACCGTGGTCCCTGGGATTCTGCGCGATGGCAGAGTGACTAATGGGGCATTGCCATAGTTTCCTTCCGATAGGTTTCGTTTCGAGACACTGCGCCTTTGATAAAAATGGCTTCCGCGTAAAGGAACACCAATAATAACGTAACGTGCACTTTCAAGCAGGGGCCGAACCAGCCGCTCATTTCGAACGGAAGGGTCGCTTGAAGTAAAATGGGTGAGGGAAAGGGTCCCGACTCTTGTTTTTAGTACCTTGTCAAAATGGCTGACTGGGCGAGTTGGTCCAACGCACTTGTCCTTGTCTACATTACACGATCGTTTTTCAAGTTATGTTTTTAGTAGTTACAAATCACAGTGTCCCCGTCGCAGTATATATATTGTTAATTTGTGCTCACGGTGGTGCCACTCATTTCAACACAAGTGACTCTCTAGGTGTTTCACGCATGATGTAGAGTGAGTGGGTGAGTAAAAACTTTATTGAACATGTCCGGCGTCATTGAGCGGGGTGGGGCTACAAGCACCCCGGCCTAGATGACGGCCTCGAGTCCTTGGACCCGGGCGGCATCCTGGGCATGCCGGACGGCCCACAGTTGATCGGCAAGGTCGTGGCTGAGCAGAGCCGCCTCCCATCGCGCCTCGCGGTTCGAGACCGCCATGTCTACCGGGTTCGTAGGGGACTGCTGCGCGTTACCGGTAAGCTTCCACAGCATGTGCTGCAGCGTCGCTCTGGCTCCGCACGCCTTACACGCGTCGGACGTATAAATGCCTGGGTAGCAGAGGCGAAGGATCACCGGATTCGGGTACGTGTGTGTCTGTAGTTGTCTCCAGGCAACCTGCTGTTTCTTGTTTAGTTTGGCGTGGGGTGGTGGATATTCGCATCTGTCCAGTCTGTAGTGTTGCGTGATGTCTCTGAAAGTGGTCATGCGAACCCCCCACGTCCATTCTCGCATCGCTGTCGAAGTGTGCGAGACATCGGGACTGTCGGCAGGCGTCGCAGCTCGGCGTGTAAGTCCTCGAGCCGCGGCGTGGGCAGTCGCGTTGCCCGCAAGCGGAGGGTCCGTGTGGGCAGGGGTTCATACGAGAAAACTCATTTTTGCGGCAGATGTTGCGTTCGTGAATTTGGAGAATGCGGGCCGCTTCGCGGGAGATCTGGCCGCTGGCGTAGTTGCGTATCGCCGCCTGCGAGTCGCCTATTATCACCTCGGCGTCCGTGGTGGCTATCGCGAGGGCTATGGCAGCTTCTTCGGCCACCTCCGTCTCTTCCGTGTCTATCGTCGCACTCGTGACACAAGTACCTACATGATCCGTGATCGCGACCGCGAAGCCGCGGTGGCAGTCGTAACGGGCCGCGTCCACGTAAACTCTGTCTTTGCTATTGCCGAATTTCTTTTCAAGGTCTTGGGCGCGCCTGTTGCGCCGACCGATGTGATGTGTCGGGTGCATGTTCTTTGGCAACGGCAGAACGACGATGCGCTCGCGAATACGTCTGGGTATCCCGACCTTTTCGCCGCGCTGCGTATGGTAGTTGATACCCAGTGTCTCGAGGATGTGTCGACCAGTTCTGGTCTTCGCCAGACGTTCGTACTGGGCGATGTTGTGTGTTTCGATTATCTTATCTAGAGTATTGTGCAACCCCCGCTCGAGAAATTTTTCCGTGCTGGTATTGACCGGTAATCCGATTGCGCGTTTGTACGTCTTGCGGATGAGACAATCTAGTTTGGTGCGTTCAGTCGCCTGCCACTTGAGGTAGGAGGCGACGTACGTTATATGGTTCATAACGAAAGCATGTACCAGGCGAATGGTATTGCTTTCCCTCATTCCGCTATGCCGATTTGTTATTCGTTTCAGCAACCGGATTGTTTCATTGACCGCGCCCTCTAGTCTGCGAACGGTTTCGCCGTTGTGGCCGTTGGCGGACAGGCGCAAGCCCAGTACCCTAATGGTGTTAACTTGTGGGATGACAGCGCCGTCTGATGTGCGCACATTAATTTCTCTATACGCGCACTCGAATGCGGAATCGGCGTTCTTGGGTTTACAGCCCCTGCGCGAGGGTCTATATAGCAGGAGCTCCGATTTAGCAGCGGAACATTCGAGGCCAGTGTCGCGAAGGTTGTCCTGCACCACGTCGACGGCTTCCTGCGGCGTTTGCTCTACGTGGCCGTCATTTCCCTCGGCAACCCAGAGGGTGATATTGACACAATGTGACTTCAAATTACGCACGCTAGCAAATACTTGTGCCTTCTAGATGATTTGCGACGCACGAGCCTGTGGGACCCAGCTGCGCGCGAACCGTGTTGGGGAAAAAGACGAACGTAGAAGAAGAGGCAGAAGGGAATCCTCGAGACAATCTAGCTGTGCTATTACTCTCGGGCACAAGTTCGCCCAGCGTACGTTAGCGTATTAAAAGAGCTTATTGAAGAGTGCGTTACAAATCTGGTGGAAGTGCTGGGTGTGATGCCAAGCCCCTCTCGAGTGACGGAGCACAGTCCAGAACCACAGCGATTTCGACCCAACGAGCTGACGCCTGTTCATCAGCGCTGCAGTCGACGCCTACGTGGTGAGGGTCCTGAATTTTCACCTTTATCGACTTCGCTTGGAACATCAACGGCTGTGAACGGGTACGCAACTGA